GCCGCCGCTCGTCCTGCTCCCCGAACCCTGCCCGCTGCGTTAGTGAGAAGCCGTCGGCAGAGACTTGGCACGGGGTGCGGGACCGGGAGCACCGGCCTTGGGGGTGAAGGTGCGGGCGGCGCGGCCGAGGGCCCTGCGTGGGTGCGGGCGTGTGAGTGTGTGTGTGTGAGTGTGTGTCGCTCCGGGTCCACGCTCATGCACACACCCACACGCCCGCACTCCGGCTCTGCCCCCTCGGCCGGCGTGAACGTCTGCAGAGCCTGTGCTCCCGAAGTATCTGGTCCCAGCACCAAGCAAGTCTGAAAAAGTTTCCCCAAGGTCTCGGGTCCGAGTGAGAGGTAGGCTGCAGGGTCCCGGCAGCCGGGGGCACCGAGGGAGCAGGTCCCACCCCTGGGCTCGCCGGCCTTTGGCCTCGGAAAACCGAGCTCAGGCCTTGACCTCGCACCCAAGCTCATCATTTCTCCCCACGCAGACGCCCGCCCTTCCACCTCAGCCCACACCCGAAGCCTGCAGCATCTCCATTCACAGCCAGGCTGAGTTCTGTTCCCTCCCCTAGGTTGAGTCGTACCCACTACTCAGCTCCCCAGCCCCCCACCCGCCCACCCAATCGGCTCTTCTGCCCGGGAATCCAGTGAGTCTTTCCAGCCGTCTCAGATTAGGCGCCTGGACTTCACTGCCCTTTCCTGGTGTAGGAGGACCTCTCTGTATGAGCTGTAACGGTGACATCTGTGTCTTACTGATCCCATCAGTTCCCATTCTAAGCATCTTGAGAGATTCAAGCGGGTAGCTTTTAAAAATCAGTGTCTCTTGAACTCCAGAAGACCTCAGCTAACCTGAGGAAACTGAGAATGAGGCAAGCTTTCTCCTCGGAGGCCCCTCTCTGCCCTCTTTTCCTCCTAATGCCTCTTTCCCACTTCACCGCTCTCCATTCCCTGCTCTCTCCTTCCTTTCCTCCTTCAGAACCCGACCTCAGGAAGGGGTCTGATTAACTCCTTACACTAAGCTTTAAGCAAAAGAAGGAAACTTCCAAGGTGGAATTAGAGGTTCCAGGGAGCCAGTGCATAAGGAATTTGAGGGTGAGAGGGGGCTGCTAAGTCTTAGGGATTCAGACCATATAAGTAGCCATTTACCTATAAGACCAGGCTTATATCGAATGTTGTTTCTCTTTAATCAGTATCAATGTATTTCAGTTCCATAAATATTGGAGGGTCGGAAACCAAGCTCGGTGCTTGTTGATCACAGTTCTGGAGGAGAGAATGACACAGAAACAAATACTCCTTATAGATGTCATAGAAGTCCGTGCAAAGCTTCATGAAAAACATGGAAAAGGGAGTAAATAATTCTTTGGAAGGAGTGGGGCAAATTAAGGAAAATTTCAGAGTGAAAAGTGACATTAGACATAGAGAAGCAAATAGGAGTTTGCCAGGCAAATGGAGGCAGGGCATCCTGGGCAGAAGAACCAGCATAAGCAAAGGCAAGGAGCTGGGAATGTTTATGAGCTGCACAGGCAGTGATGGAAAGTCTGGTGAGGCAAGAGTGTGCGGTGTGTTGAGTCACAGGAGGTGGACAGAGAGATTGGAGCTGGTTTATGGGTGGCCACAGATGCTGTGCAAAGGTGTTTAAATCTAATGGTTTGTAAACAAGGGAGCAAGTGGGTCCCATGTGTGTTTCATAAAAATATCTGGCAGGCACATGAAGGCTAGACTGCAGGAAAAAGAGACTGGGGTCTGAGCACGTGTACTTGTCTAGTGCCATAGGACTCTTACAACCTGATTAAGACTCTATTATCCACAGTTTTTGTTCCTCGTCTTTCACTGAGCAACATTTTTTAAAACTGGGGGCAGTGATTTCACACAGGGTATTGTATTACCAAATTCTTACTTTGCCAAGTGAGACCATTAAAAAAAATACATCCACTGCACCACTATTTCATAAGATGAAAGACACTTGAATACCAGGAAAAGCTTGGAGGCTAAACTGGCAAGGTGAAGGCAGTCCTCTACATGTAATAAATTTAGATCGATGAAAAACTCACTATCTTGTCCTCATTTTTCTCTGTCATCATGGACTGGTCCCTGTCCTACAGTCTGGTGTCGGGGAAGAAAATATATAAATCACTTTGTCCAGCCTTACTCTACAGAGGAGGAAGTGAGGAAGCCCAGCAAAAATGATGGAGGTGTACGCCCACAGAGGGATAGTAGGACCAGGGCATGGCTCTTTCTGCCTCAGAATCCACCCCTCCCATCCCTTACTATTTCTCCTTGTGGCCAGCCACGCAGCACCCATTCTGAGTATCTCAATTCATTCCTGGGCATTTGCACATACTCTGATCCCATCATGCCTGAATAACCATATCAAAGCCACTTTCCAGATTCTCCTTTGCATGAGATCAGCCTAATTCCCTGCTTTGATGTGCTGTTTTACATCACTGTTTAACCATTTCGTGTTAGGTGGAATAGTTTCCTGGACCTTCACTGACCTGGAGTAAAATGAGAACAGATTATTCACTTTCTGAAGGATAGTAACCATGTCTTCCGTTTTAAACCTATTTCTGGAGCCACAGTATTGCTGTTCCAATACCTAACATAGTTCTGGGAGCATTTTAGGTGATGAATGAATTTGCTCATGAAAAACTAACTTATTCCCAGCCCACAAAGGCTTCTTTATATGCCACTCTTCCTTTCCTTGGAGTTTTACTGAAGAAGCCTCCTTGTTTCTGTGGATTGAGTCTCCATAGCATCAAAGCCACAGGACGTGGCTGCAGTGATCAGCGTTCCAAACCGTAAATGAGGAAAGGTTTAAATCTTGACTGCTTATGGGGCACCCAGGCAGGGATGGAGACTGTCCCAGGAAACACAGCACGTGTCATGGCTGTAGTCCTCGTGGACTCCATCAGTCACTGCACAGAAACAGCTGTGTCTTTAGAACACACAGTTTCTAATGGCTGCAGACAAAAGAGCACCGTCTTAAAAATGATTACATCTCTCCTGTCATAATAACATCCAGAGTAGACAAAGGTCTACCAGAACATGCAAAAAAAGTTTTTTTGGGTTTTTCTTTATTGGTTTTGATTTAGGGAAAATGTGGACCAGTAACAGGTACAAGTTCATGTAAAATTAGACTTTAAAGTAGGCTGAATATGATGGTAAGTTTTTTTTTATTATTTGAAGAGATGTAAAAATAGAGCCTTTCTGAAATGTATAAATTATCCATAAATGTTTCCTAACAGTATCAGTTCAACACGGCTGATTTGGGGGTGTTTCTGAAGGAATGGCTTCATGTTGCTGGTGGAACACAGAGTAGCCACGGGAAGAGTGGTTTTGTTGCAGCAGTTTTCCCACAATTGAGAGGAACTGACCAAAAACAATTTGACCGTCCGAGATGGGTGAGGGCCTCCTATGCAACCTCCCTCCCAACAGCGGTGTGTCCAGGAATCCACCTCTCAGGTGGAGTTCTTCCGCTCACTCATGTGTCTTTCAGCAGCCGGGCTCAGTTATAAAGCTTGTTCTTGTGAGTTGATGAAGTCCTAGCTCTCTGTCCTTTTAGGCCTCTGGTAAGGATGGCTGTAGAGGTAGGAGTCAGCTAGCCTTCTAATCAGGCCTTGGGGTTCTCCCACAGTGAGAAGAACTAGAAAAGCTCTACTGCAAAGCGCAAGAGCTGCTGGACTCAATGTAATGTTTTGCCCTGGAAATAGACCAGCAGAAACACCTGTACGTTATTTCTTGCCAGTCCTCTGTAAGCACCATTTGCATTTCGTCAGTGAAAAATGATTTCTAATAGCCCTTATGCCAAGTAGCACACCCTGAAGTAGCGATCAGGGACAAGGATAGTTGAACCCTCTCAAGAGGCGAACACTCAATTACGGATTCTGAAATGTTAACTGAAGACCCCCGGAGAGCATGTTCCTGAATAGGGCACTTCAACTGTTAACCAACCACCTCCAGGGCGTACGGTACAGCTAACCCGCAGAGAGGTCACAGGGTATGTGGTGAAGTGTTTTAGCATTAGGAACAATATCACAGCATTTTAGGGCAAAGCAGATACAAAGTTGTTTATATTGCTTTTTATTTGCCCATGAGTGTTTATCATAACCAGGCTTATTCTCATGTTCCTGCTTATAGAGAAGTGAAAGAGTTTGGAGCTTCTTAATAATCCAGATTAATAGTAAGGATTGTCCAATTATCTTACAAAGAAATTAAAATATCAGACAGTGCCCATGGTCAGCTGTTGATGAACTAAAAAAGGGGATATAAGTAATGTCCAAGTATGGGACCTATTCCCTTTATAGTCACGGCCCTAGGACCCAGGTGAGGAGAAGGTAAATGAGGACAGAAAACTCTAGGCCGTGGC